TATATATATATATATATATATATCTATATATCTATCTATATATATATATATATATATATATATATATATATATATATATATATATATATATATATATATATATATATATATATATATATATATATATATATATATATATATATATATATATATATATATATATATATATATATATATATATATATATACATATATATACATATATATATATCCACATATATATATATATATATATATATATATATATATATATATATATATATATATATATATATATATAAGACAAAAATAATATTGCTGAAGGGGGCTAATAATATTTACCTTAAAACGTTTTTTTTCTGTAATAATTCTGACTTCAACTGTATTTATATATATATGTGTTTGTGTGTGTGTGTGTAAATATATATATATATATATATATATATATATATATATATATATGTGTGTGTGTGTGTGTGTGTGTGTGTATGTTATATATATATATATATAGATTGGCTTATATATACACAGCATATTCCTCTTTGACATGTTTAGACAGACCACACACAAGGGGGACAAATATGTGACCTTACATTTTTAGCAATTCACTTGCAAGTTTTACAGTCTCCTGTTATAGCGTTCCTCCTGATTATTTTATTTAGTTTTTTTTTTTAGTTCGACAGTATCTCCAGCAGAAAATCCCACTAGAATTTAAAGCGACAGTCACCAAAGCAGCACAATCAGGATCAAAGCCTGAAAGGGTCTGTTTCAGAGAGCTATACAACATTATCTGTGTCATATTTTGAGCTGAAAGTTCACACACACTCTCTGGAGACACTAGAGACGCACTTTACATGTTGTTAAGAGTCATTGTCCAGTGTAAATCAGATGTCAGCAGCAGCAGCAGCAGGTATTGAGATGTACAGTAGTGATGTGGATCAGCTCAGATCAGCAGTGAGATCCGCAGGGCAGGTAGAGTCATCCCCAGCAGCAGACACACAGATATCAGGAGTCAGATATGATCAGCGCATCAAACACCCGCAGCCCAGAGCAGACATCAGCCAGAGGCTGAACCATCACTGCTCCAGGAGAAGAAAACGCTCTTTTGTGTGTGTGTGTGTGTGTGTGTTTCTGTCTGTGTATGCATGTTCCTGTGTGTACATGTTTGTGCGCTTGTTTCTCTGTGTGTGCGCATGCATGTGTTTCTGTGTGTGCGCATGTTTCCATGTTTATTTGGTTGTGTGTTTTTGCTCTTGTCTCTCTGTGTGCATGTTTCTGTGTGTGGGCTTCTGTGTGTGTGTGTGTGTGTGTGCTTGCATGCAATCTTGTGTAAGTGTGTTTGTGTGCGCATGCGTTTTTTGTGTTTCTGTAAGTTTGTTTGTGCTTCTGGGTGTGTGTGTGTGTGTGTGTGTTAATGTTTCTGTGTGTGTGTGCGCGCATGTGTTTCTGTGTGTTTGTGTGTTTCAGAGCGTGTACATGCATGCGTGTTTCTGCATGTTTATTTGTGTGTGTGTGTGTGTGTGTGTGTGTGTGTGTGTGTGTGTATGTGTGTGTGTGTGTGTGTGTGTGTGTGTGTGTGAGAGAGAGAGAGAGAGAGAGAGTGTCTGTGTATATATGTGTGTTTTTATGTGTGTGTATATATGTGTGTGTGTAAATGTTGTATTATCCTGGTGGGGACTTAAACCTGAATGCACACATTTTCTGGGGACTTCCCCACCAGGAAAGCAAACCTGTGTGTGTGTGTGTGTGTGTGTGTATTTGTGTCTTTGTGTAAAAAAAGTGCTGTTTTCACCAGATGGTGGCAGCACACAAACAGCAGTAACTAAAATGGAATAGTGTGCTTGCTAGCTTTGAACATCTGTGCATTTGATAAAGTTTAAAGGATTAATATGTGTGAACTGGGCTATTAATCGTGTAGGGCAGGGCTATCAGTGCAACTCATTTCTGCCTTGCTTTAGTTCTGTCATCAGTTTTTTCATTTGTTAGCAACGTCCATCTTTCAACGAACCAATCAGTTCCCAGTAGCCGATATTATACACCGGCCTACATATCTTACACATTTCAAGACTTTTCCCCCTGGATTGTTATATGTCAACAGGATAATATTTTAATAAATTGGGTTGTGGCATGGTGGCTCATTAGTTAGCACTGTCTCCTCACATCAAGAGGGTTGCTGGTTCAAGTTCCATCTGGGCCAGTTAGCAATTCTGTGTGGAGTTTGCATGTTCTCCCTGGGTTCATATGCCGCCAGGTGCTCTGGTTTCCCCCACAGTCCAAAAACATAGGGTATAGGTGAATTAGGTAA